CCTTAATGAAGGAATAAAATATTCATTAAATAAGTTAGCAATTTTTCATGATCAGAAACAAGAAGTCCATTTACTGAGATTTGAGATTTAAAAGAACCAACTATCAGATATTGTCCAAGATTAACCTTCAGGGTGGATATAGCTCGCTAGCAGCCTCGCACCGAGGACCTATCCACATCATCATTTACCCAGAATGCTTTGCATGTAAATAAAATGGCCCCGTCCATGTACCGTAATATATTTTTAAACTTTTAGTTTAAAAATTATAAAAACTAAACAGCCTACAGTATTTTTACAGTCTTTACTTTACAGTTAAAATATATGTTTATTAAATAAAGTCTAATGTTACAACTAATCATGGATCCCTTTAACGTATCTAAAGTATGTCATGGTATGAGGGCCAAAATTAAGACTATTGTACAACCAGGGGTTACTACATCCTTGTAGCAAGAGGTTATATCTATTCCCAAGCCAGCTATTGATGATATTAATGATAGGCCGACACCGCTAACTGAGAGGCTGGCTCTGGCAAATGAGAAGGAGACTATTCAATTGTGTTAACATCGGAGAGGCAAGCAACTAGCATGGATAAGCTTTTCAGATCAATTGCTGGCTTAGGAATAAATATAGCCTCCTGCTACAAGGATGTATAGCTGCACAGTAGTCTTAATTTTTGCCCTCATACTGCCGCTTAAAGCTTAACTAAAAGCAAAAAAACAGTAACTGAAATTTTGCAGGGATCGTACAAAAAACAAACTGGGAATAAATTCAATTAGTTTTTTTATTATTTGCCTTTGAATGATGTGAACAGAAAGTAAATCTACTTCCTGTTTTGCTCAGAGATGTCCGACGGGCTCTCAGGTTATCAGAGTTTGGATGTTGGTTTGATCTGATTGGCTGGAGCCAACGTGGGTCTCCCCCACAGACGGAGGCGGCTGACCCCCCCATCGGGAGCGATGATGAGTCGGATGTGACTGACGTGGTGGGTCAGAGTCAAGTCTGCGGAGCTGTAGTGGTGCCTATGATGAGGACTGAGCTGCAACACAGACAGGAGGATCATCGTGATGCTGATTTATTTTATCTTCTCACTAAATATAAAAACCTACCTTCTGAGGTGGGAGAAGAACCCCCCATTTCCCAGAACTCCATCTGGTTCTGATTCTTTCAGCCTCCTCCTCTGGGCTCATAAGGCACGCCTCGATCCGGCAGGAGTCTGGAAAGTTCCCTGGATGGAGAAAGATCAGGATGTAAAAATAATTAGAGGAGAGAAGCAGCCTAGAAAATTGTTCTACCTTTGAAATGATTTGTGTCGACCTCAACGCTGCTGATTATTCCAGGATGACCGAGACGAAATACGGCCCACTCCCAGCCCGGAACTTGCAGTATGCCCCGCTGATCCACCTGCAGGGAGAGAAGAAACACCTTAGTCCTCAAACTGTCCACACATCTCTGTCTGTGGACAAGAAGGCCTAAACAAATAAATAAAATAAAATAAAGTTAAGTTCAGAAAGAAGAACATTTTAGAAAAAAGGGAGAAGCTCAGGAAAACAATATTGTGAAAACTGAAATCACTACACACTGAACCCTCCAAGTACCAGGTACATACCCAATATGTACCAGATTATGTGTTATTATGTATTCAAACCTTCAGCTCTTTGGGTCGGTCCAGTCTGCGAGCTGTTTCCCATCCATCAGCCATGTTGGCAGCTCGACAAAGACCTGCAAACACACAAAGTTAGGAGGAGTCATCCCAAAGTAACGTAATTTTACTGATTCATAACGCAAAAATTATAAGATGATTCAAACCGATCATGTTGCGTGGATGTCCAAAGTGGGCGTCGCTGTACCCGAGACAGACTCCCCCATTGGTAAGAGCCACCAGGTCAATTTCCTGGTTGGTGGAGACAGTGGACCAGTCCCTCTGTCCAACACCAAACACCCGGAGTCTGGCTATCCCTCCATCTGAGGACACAAACAGAAATCATCTTATTCTGATTATTTACAGCCTGTTCTACCAGAAAACCTGGAATAAGAACATTTAAGGTTTAAATTTACGAGTCCACATCTTATTAATTGATGTGTGTCGTCGTTGTTGTTGTTTGAGAATACCTGGATACATGTTGAGGCGCAAGTGAGTGACTCTTCTGTTAAAGTTGACTCTGAAGTAGTTGTGACAACAGTCTGAGTATCCAGGCTGCAACTTCGAAACACTCACCAGCTCTGGCCACGCTTCAGAGCCCAGCTGTCAATCAAAACACAGTCAGCTGTCAATCAAAACATAGTCAGCTGTCAATCAAAACACAGTCAGCTGTCAATCAAAACACAGTCAGCTGTCAATCAAAACACAGTCAGCTGTCAGTCAGAACAGAGTCAGCTGTCAGTCAGAACAGAGTCAGCTGTCAGTCAGAACACAGTCAGCTGTCAGTCAATACACAGTTAGCTGTCTTTGAAACTGTTAGCCGTCATTGAGCAATGGTTACGATGACAAACAGACTCTGCAGCGACCATCACAGTTACCTTGGCAACAGCATTCATCTGACTCTCTGTAGCTGCCATGCCAGTCCGGTCTTCCCCTGGGGTGAAGGTGGTCAGCGGGTCTGGTCAGGACCAGAATGAGGTTATGAGAACATTTTGACATAAATGTTAAATAAATATTAATTTTAAATTGAAATTAACAAAGTGAAGCTGTCATGTTTTTAGCTACAGGAACAGAAAAGGAAAATTATAACAACCAGACAGAGCAGTTTATACCAAGACAGCTGGCCTGGATGGAGATGTGAGGTGAGTGGTTTCCTGTGAAGAAAGATGTGTCAACATCAAATCCGTAGATCAGGCCAGGGACGCCCAGCTGGATGAGGCACCAATCGTGACCTTCATAATAAGATTAGACAAAGAAATGTAAACAAAAGCAATGAAGCACCACTTTAATACATTCTCACCCAAACTATCATTGTCTGTTTTAACAAAATCCTAATTTGCTGTCATCAAAATCTTCTTATGTTAAATATTTCATAAATTGAGTCTCTTCATAATTGGTGCCCCACGTGGGGCTTGTCTTGGATTTGTCTGCATGGGGGGCGGGACACTAACCGGGTTTCCGCTTCCTCCTAGTCTCCCATCCGTCCATCCACTTTCCAAACTCTGTGAAGGCAGACGGGATGAACTGAGGTGTTTCTCTCTGTTCAAATGGCACATTAAAGTAGGTAAAAACAAACCAAAAATCAGCTGTTAATTTTCAAGTGAGTTCAGATTTATTTACAACCTATACTTGTTTACTGTAATTCCTGGAGAGTTTCATAAACTGACAAATCTTTGAAGCTGAGCCACAAAATAAGTGCAGCTTTTTCCAAGCTTAGATGTTTCACTACTCAATCTGTGTGTCGAGTAAAAAACTCTGTTAACACATTTGTATGAAACGTCCGTTTCCCCCTTGTACTGCTGATGACATAATCACAGATTTACCTTCAGCAGGTTTTTAGCAGGAGCAAACCACTCATCTGTAGCAAAGATCACCTAAAAACAATCAACACACATTAGTGGCAGTAAAATACAAACATACACAGCTGAGTGTTTGGAAACGAAAAGAACTCACCCAGGATTTTCTACATTGTAACTTTATGACCTGAAGGTTTTTATTTGATTGTAACTAACTGGGGAATAGTCTTGTTTTTAATAAAACTGAACATTACAAGTGATGTGTGCATTTGTATTCACTCTCTTTTGCTTTTGCAGCCCCAGCTGAACCCTTCAGAAGCCATATAATTAGTTAAATAAGATCCACCTGTGAACAATCTGAGTGATCTCAGTATATAAACACCTGTTCTGATTCAGATTCAGACTCAGACAGCTTTATTTATCCTCAAGGGCAATTCAGTTCAGCTGTTTCCAGGTTCACACGTATTCCCACTTGCACACAAATGCTTATACAGAAGAAGGGAAGAGGAGAAAAAACACAGTAATTATAATACATTTTTCAACAAACAAATCAAAAACCTACACATCAAAATTTAACCACTCTGTGGTGAAGTCGCAAAAATAACTCAGGGCTGTGTACAGCCATTCGGTTAAACAGCCTAAGTGCAGAAGGAACAAATGAACAGGAAAACTTGTTTGTTTTACTGTGTGGTACCATAAAGCGATGGCCTGAGGGCATCAGTATAAATTCAGAGGACAGATTATGTTCCTGCTGGGATACTATCTCCTTACTTTTACAAAGCACCTGCTTCTCCCACACGGACTGCAGGTCCCTCTGCTGGAGCCCAATTATTTTGGAGCACACCTTGACAATGCTCTGAAAGCTGTTCTTGTCTTTCACAGACAAACCAACAAACAAAAGAAAAAGTAAAAATACCTTCAATAAAAGACTGATAAAAGTTACATAAAATCTACTTACGAATGTTAAAAGAGTTTAACTTCCTCAGCAAGTGAATTCTCTGCAAGCTCATTTCAAAATGAAGTCAGTGTTCACATCAAATTTTAGTTTGGAATCAACTATGGTTCCTAAATATTTATATGAATCCACAATTTCTACCTTTTTTACATGTATAGAAATGGGTTGCAGCTTTCTATAATTTTTACTAAAATCTATCACAAGCTCCTTTGTCTTGGAAACATTTAGATCAAGATATCTGTCATCACACCAATTCACAAAAGCATGTAGAGCACCACCATAATCTGACTCTGAACCTTGAAGAAGCGTTAAAAGTGCAGTGTCATCAGAAAAGTTTACTACCTTCTGTAAAGGACCTGCAACTATCAGTGTACAAAATAAAGAGAGGCTCCACAATCCAATTACCAAAGTCTACCATCAAGCATGAGACATCATGAAGACCAATGAACTCTTCACACAGGCAGGAGGCAAAGTTATGAAGAAAAACAATTTAGTTTGTTTAAAATACAGCGGGTAAAATAAGTATTGAATACGTCAACATTTTTCTCAGTAAATATATTTCTAGAGGTGCTAATGACATGAAATTTTCACCAGATGTCGGTAACAACCAAGTGATCCATACATACAAAGAAATCAAACCATAAATGTCCAGAAATGAAGTTATTTGTAATAA